GGGGCGGAGGGGGGAGGGGGAGGTTGGAGGGGATAGCCATGAATTCTCGGAAAGCTTCTGCTGGGCCGCCACGGTCGGGGCCGGGGCCGGCGCACCGCGCTCGGGGGCTCGGGATCGGCGAAGGCGGCCGGGAACAAAGCCCATCGTTTGTCCTACCACAACGCGTCGTTGTCAAACTGTGCGGAAAATGGTCGTTTTCCGCGAAGGATGGAGCGGGAAATAGGTGTGCGTACGGCAACGGCAACTCGACTCGCTTGCCTGGCCAAACGGCGCGGCACGGTGGATCAACCACGAGGATACTCCAACTACGACTATACACGTGGACGGGTGGATCGGTTCGTGTAAAACTGACAAAATCAAAGAGTCTTCGACCGTAAAAGGAAAAAGTTCGTTTGATGGAGAACGTATCAAATGAACGTAAAAAGGCCTACAAGAGGGTTTTCAAAGTCAGTCCATTCACTGGAAAAAAAAAAAAACACATTGGATCTAGAGTCCACACTCTTAAAAACATCGACAAGAAAAAGTACTCTTGATTCAATCAGAATCTAGCTTAAATCAAGAACCAAACCTCTTAATTTGAGCGGATTTCCTTTTGATTTAAGCTTAAATCTGATTGAATCAAGAGTATTTTTTCTTGTCAATGTTTTCAAGAGTCTGGACTCTGGATCCAATGGTTTTTTTTTCCCAGTGCGTACATATTTGGACCGAGTTCATTAGAAAGGAACCAACCCACATTAAGTTGAAGCTGAGAAAAAGAGGTTTGAAGGAGGAGGTTGAAGAGGTTTTATTCCTGCATACGGCTCAATGTAGAAAATCAACTTTAACCCCTCTTTTCACAAACTAATTTCCGTTTTTCGACAATCAGTTTTTGGCAGAAGAAAATATACAGCTAGTGGAACTCGAAAGCTTTCTTGACTCAATTTTTGGGAGAATGTAGGTTGATTCCTTTCTAATAAACTCCGTGCATTTCATCTTCGGAACAGAATTCTATGGAATTTTTGGGTTTCATATTTAATAGAGTATTCTTCATTATCTAGAAAAAATTCACAGAAAATTTCAAAGCGTTACGTTGTTCAGTTCACCGTTAAAAAAGAATGGCATACAGGGATGCGTAGGGAGAGAGGGGGCCGTTTAGAGGGCAAGAAATTTGTAAGCTTAAATCATTAAAACGAAATTTAATGACTATCGCAATCACCCCATTTTCCTAAATCAAATTAAAGTGTATGAATTGGATTTTAACAGTGTTCTATTTTCTTTTCCTGGAGAATGACCTCAAGGGGTGGTTACTCTTTCAAAAGTACTTTCAATTTTCGTAGTTTTTGCGTAATATTAAAAAATATGTCCAATCTGTCAAAAATTAAAAATATTGACGAGATGAAAAATATTGAGATAGCGTACCTTCTTTCACTGACTGGACGTAAACGGGGTTGTCACCAGAGACTTTCATTCCATAACCACGTTCATCTTTGTTGACGATGATGGTCGTGGTATGGTGAATCGTCTCACGAGTACTGGGGGTTCGCCGCAGGGATGGTCCGTTTGAAACATTCGTACTGAAATCCAAGAGAAAAACTCATTAGAAACGAACAAAACAAAATATAAACAAAAAGAACAACAAGGCAAAAACTCGCTTAGCAAAATTCTCACCTCGACAATCGCCAGACATCTTTACTGCTGTGCTGGGGAAGAACGCCGTATGAGCTTTCAGGCGTTGCCAAGTTTCCTTCGATAAAATCCGAATACACAGAAAAAAATGGATGGTGCTGGCGACAGAACCTTTTGTTCATACGGCTCCCACAGTTTCTTTGTTACACTTACAGAACTTTCTGTCGTGGGAACAGAGTACTCTGTTCCCACGACAGAAGTTCTGTTCTCACAACAGAAAAGTTCTGTAAGTGTAACAAAGAAACTGTGGGAGCCGTATGAACAAAAGGTTCTGTCGTCAGCACCATCCATTTTTTTCTGTGTATACTGAGAACATAGTGAATACTTCTTTCCAAAATTTTCAGACAATTTCGCGTGCAATGTAATCTAAAATATCTGAAAATTTAAAGGGAAAAGATGCACAAATGTCCTCGAAAATGCAGGTTTTATCCAGAGAAACTTGGCAACTCTCGAATGTTCATACAGCGTTCTTCCTTAGCACGGCGGTTTAGGTCTTTCATAGACGATCAAAATGCCGAACCAATGGATCGTATTCGATATAGTGGTTCGATATATCGTTTGGTTCGAAAAATAAAAAAAAACCTCAAACAAAAATTTGAGGATTTAAGTTAGAAAAGCTGCAGAAGAGAAAATTCCTTACACCACGGCGTTTCATTGTACCTAATGTGGTACTCATAGTTGCTTTGCTTTATTTTCAAATGAAAACTTGACCGAAATGTGCCGCGTGCAAGAAATTATGAATGGTGGCATTCCGTTTTGAACAAAATTGGAGGGGCCGTCAAATTTTCATCGAAGAAGACTAATGAATGGTGACCAACAGTCATCTACTTTGATCGGAATTAGTTAGGAATTTGATAATGTATCCAGGCTCATTAGGCGAATTTCATTTATTTTTTGCTCTGACGGTTATCCATCGACCATCATTCCGAAAAGAAGTACTAACCCCCGAATATAACATTTGCCTCACCCGATTACATTGCTTTTGGTAATGTTGCTTTCTCAATAGTATATCGATGACCAAAGTACGAAACCTCGTATCTCCGTTCGCAACGTTCCAGACTTCCTGCATAGTTTATTTTTCATTGGAAACTAGTCAACTTAATTTCTTGGAAACTTCCTTGATTTTTCTCCTTTATTAGCAGAAAATTCCATAGAAATTTCAAGCTATACGGTTGACTTGTTGCTCTTCGAAAAAATAAAATAGGAGCCGAGTATTGAGACACCGCACAAGAGATAAGTGGTTTCGTACTTCAGCCATCGATATTATCTATGATCACACTTGACGCTTTTCCATTAATGGGCATTGAAAGCACGAATTTCACGACCAAAAAAATTACGGAAAGCAAATTACACCGGGTGCAAAATCCCCGACCGGTTGAAGTTGTAGCGATAAAAAAAAGAAGAAGAAAAGCGACATAATTGATAGTGATCCCGCACGTGTCGAACACAGTGCGAGCAGAGCGAGAAGCGAAAAAGCGCGTATCCCTCCGCTGTCAAAAACTCGTAACTGCACCTTGGGATAAGCCGTGTTACCCATAAAACCGGATACTTTCGCAGACTCGCGGGAAAACGAGTTTACGCGTTTACTTCGGAGGGTCTCTACGACAATTACGGCTTTGCGTCGTACTGTTTACACTGCGAACTCAACTGCTAGCGCCGCTGGAACATNGGGGGGGGGGGGGGGGGGGGGGATGCGTACCACCGTGGAGCGGCGTACCTATTATTTTCGCCAAGGTCGATTCACTCACTCTCGCTCTACGACTGCCATTCAATGGGACGTACTCATGCTAAAAGGAACTATGTTACAAGCAAACCCCATGCACATAGGTCCTTTTAACATAAATACGTCCGATTACTCACTCGTAACCGGGATGCCCCGAGAAACCGCGATTTTCGCGCGATGTGCCGCGAGTGCCAAATTTAAGACCTCTCCTGTTGTGCTGAGGAAGAGGGACGCATCGGCATTGAGACGTTGCCAAATTTATTTACATAAAATGGCCCTTCTTTCTTCTTCTTTTTGATTTTTGAGAAGTTGGGACTTATTTCTTTGAGTGGTGATTGGACCGAGTTAAACAGAAAGGAACCAAGCCACATCAGCTATTGCCATTTAATTGGGCAATTTAATTTTTTACATTAAAACGATAGTGCGGATTTTAGTGCAAATTTCAGTGAATTTTTTCCATGGTACGAAGCAAATTCCTCATCATTTTCACAGAAATCCGCACAAACGTTCTTTCATAAAAAATTGAATTGCCCAGTTAATTTTGGCAACAGCTGATGTGGCTTGGTTCCTTTCTATTAAACTGGGTCCGATACCGATGTGGAATGTCTCTGAATTTAAGAGTCTCAAAGTACCATAAATAATATTGAGACATTTTTTCATCGATGGCAATTTTGCAACATTTGAGGGGACATATTCCTTAACCTCATAAGTTCGGTTACAAGAACCGAAAGTTGGGTTTGACGAACCGAGTAGTTGGGATGTTATAGGACACCACCATGTTCTCCTTCATTTTGCGAAAATTTCACCTTCTTTGAAGTCAAATAGGTTGTAGGTATCACGCGTTTCGTCCTATTCAACTTTTCTACTCCGGCGTTAAAGTCTCTGGGTCAGCCGAAAAAAGTTCACGATCTCCTTCATTTCGCGAGATATGCAATTTCACCTATTTGGATGTCGAAATAGTTGTATCACACGTTTCGCCCCATCCAACTTTCCTGCTCTGCGTTAAAGTCACCGAGTCAGCAGAAAAGAGACTACGCTCTTTTTCATTATTCTGGACGTGTGGATGTGCGAGAGAGCTTTGATGCGTCATAATTGTGACTAGTTGTGAAAAGGGACCTCATTTTCCGAAACACAAACGAGACGTGAATGATCGATTATCGCTATTTCACCATTATAATTGAATATTTAAAATTTAAAAATCAACTATAAACGACTTTTTTTCCTTTCCAATTTTTCAATTACAACAATTGAGTGCCTGCGAGGAAATATTATGACAAACGACGGCGCCAGTGATTGGAATCAAATAAGCTCTTTAAGCCACTAGCGCGGCGCGGCATGATTTGCGATACATCGATTGATCTGCCATTTAAACCTACGGCGAGGGATCGATGAACAGGGTGTTCCCAACGAACGCCTTGATAATCGATTCTTCACTGTATCTTCCAATAGGAAAAGATCGATGATCGAACATGCAAGCGTGACCGTGCGATGCAGCGCTCCAGTTCTGAGCAAAACTAATCAATTTCCGATCGTAAAATCAGACGACCAAAAATAAGTAAACACGGAAACGAAAGAAAAACCGAAACTTGAAACAATAAAATGTGAGCCTCCGGGTGCAGTCGCTCGAAACTGATATTCCGCCTGCCGTACGGGATGTCACGAGTTTCATCGATTATCGATTTCAGACTCGAGCACATGAATTACTGTTATTAAATTGATCGGGGAAAACTGACGTTTTCAGTTCGCTAATTGCGCTATTGCTTGATTATAAGTCTTGATCGAGAAATCGAGCGGGGAGGAAATTGAAAGAACAAACATGCATGTTATCTTTTGCGATGATTACGATACGCCATCGTCGTGCGGCATGAAATATAGAACTAGAAAATAGGAGTCTTTCGTTCGATTTCTTTCAAAATTCGTCAATTTATATTTCAAGTTCAGCTTCAATATTGTTTCGTTCATACAGGGTGATTCAGTGTTAAACGGCTAGTACTGTATGAGCGTGTTCTATGGGTCAAAATAATACTTTTTTGTTGTAGAAAGTTCTGTTTTCCGAAAGTGCTTCCAGCCGGAGCTGCAAAATTTCGGAAAGTAAATCGTTTTCCCCGAATTTTGGCAGCGGCTGGGAACCAAATCTCATGAAAATTTGTACTCCCCTGCACTTTTATGCCCTGAATTCATAAATATTCACAAATCATAATCTCAATTTAAGGATGGGTGGTTTGGAGGTGTTTCGGCTCCTGCAGTCTGGTCGTTACACCCTGGACCACCTTGTATTTCTTAAAAAGTGCGTGTACCGCAGTTTCATTTATTTAGATTCTTTTGTGAACGCTATGACTGTGAGATCTCCACGTGAATGCAGTAATTTCTAGCGGCACTCAAGGTACTGGAAAAATTTCGAGAGGAAACATTGTTGCTTTCCATGAAAACGTAATGCGCTGAATTCATAGTACTACATGCAATTAACTTATGATTTTTAAAGATGTGGAAATACAGGCTTTACAGAGAGGAGATACGACACAATAGTTCGCAAATTATGTCATTTAATAAAACACGCGTTTATTCGTCAGATTCGATCATTCATGTTGTATTTCCTTGTCATTTGACCGGATTTGTGCCAAAAAAATACTACGTACAAATGAATCCAATATAAAAATAACCACCAGCGAGAGATTTGCATGCTACAAAGTTCTTTTGATTTTACTTATTTGTAAACCGTTCTCCGAATAATAACATCCATTTTTACGTCGAGCATGTCCTCGTATTCACCAATGAATGCCTCCAACTTTAACGATGTTGCAAATCCTCGATTGGGCCGACAATTAACATGAATCACAGGAATGAGCGATAGAGCCAACACGACGCTTCGTTTGGCTGAGGTAGCGAGATCCGTTTACACGCTGATTGAGAAACTTAATTTGGGCTCAACGTGCGGCTCATCAAAGGTCATCGATGTTAATATTCGTCGGTCTGACTATTATTAAGCCTCATCGATGAGCCTTTGAGACCCGAATTAAGCTCAAATTGAGCCTTTCAGTAAGCGCGCAGACAGGCCTTTAGTCTCTTTAATCGGGTCGAGTATTGATACAATGACAGCAGTGGCGTCGCGAGCTTTGCGATATATCGGTTGATCGGTGACTTAAACCTATGGAAAAGGATCGATAA